TTCTGTCTTCAAAAAGTCAGGACAGTGATACCCATCTATTCGAAAGCTAAACCTATCCTGTCCACCAGAGAGCTGCAGTTTTTTATAGAAAAAACTATTAAATTATCTAATGGCACTCGTTAGCCTATTGTTAAAGTTAGCTATTTTCACAAATAAAAAAAAGTAAAATATATATATATATAAAGAATAAACACAAAGTATTAAAGAATGAAAGAAATATAACGAAATTGAGTTGTTTTACCTGTTTAGCTGATATCAGTATATCTACTAATAAAGACAAACTAAATCATTCATCACTGTATGGCTCAATCCCACTAAAGTAAAAAACACAGACATCAACGTCCTTGAAGCTAAGAAAAATCTGTGGTTGCCTGATGATTTGATTAATTAATATTTTTGTGTCCATTTGCAAGTAGTTGCAGCAACCAACTGTTGTCCAGAGATTCACCTTGCAACACCCTCAACCTCTAGTCAACCACTTTAAGCTCAAGTTGACTGCACAGGTTACCTGATGGGTGGTAACCTGTCTCGAGATAATCCTTGACTGACTCAGACAAACTGCCAATGGTTTGCAAATAATTGCCAACATGGTGCAATCAACCCGAGTCAGTCTGCGCTAATGAGTCCAACTCATCTGCTTTGTGCAATGGGGGATTTGACTCAGCTGGTTGCCACCTCGGTATATTGTAGTTGTATTCCTACATAAAAGCAAAATTGCCTGAATATTGAGCACATATGTCATGTTGTTAAATTGCCATCATGCAGCAACTACGTTGCTATATGTAGAAGAATTTATTTTCAAATCTGTGAGTTTTGGCTTCACTTAAGAAGTTTGAATTTCTGTGTATGTGGACAACAAAATATTTGCAATTTTCCAGATTTATTTCAATTTATTGCCGTATTATCACAAACAGATTCGAAAAATATGCTGAAAAAACAACATTTTGGATACATGTGACATCTGGATATAAGGGACCAAAAACCACCAATGCATACTTTGAGGTGAAAATGTTACTTATTTAGTTACATATAGTAAATTATTCTACTTTTAAAAAACAAAAAAACAAAACAACCTGTCGTAGCAGATGACTGACTCTCCCTGAGCCTGGTTCTTCTGAAGGCTTCTTCCTGTTAAAAGGGCGTTTTTAATTTTCGTGGTCAACACCCTGAAATTCAAAGGGGCATGTTTGATTGTTGGGTTTTTTTCTGTATTATTATAGGGTGTTTCCCTTAAATATAAAGCACCTTAATCGACTGTTGTTGTGATTTGGCACTATATGAATAAAACGGAAATTTTAAAAATTTTATCATTTTGTCCGGAATTGCACATTCAGTGCAGTTTCTATGTGACATAAAAGAAGTTTCAAGTTTCATTGTCATGTACAGATAACAGTGTAGCCACATTTATCCATAATGAAATTCTTTGGCTTGTGCTCCTCAGCTTTACATGAGCATATAGAGAGTGTGCATTTACAGTGGGGCAAACAAGTATTTAGTCAGCCACCGATTGTGCAAGTTCCCCCACCTAAAATGATGACAGAGGTCAGTAATTTGCACCAGAGGTACACTTCAACTGTGAGAGACAGAATGTGAAAAAAAAATCCATGAATCCACATGGTAGGATTTGTAAAGAATTTATTCGTAAATCAGGGTGGAAAATAAGTATTTGGTCACCTCAAACAAGGAAAATCTCTGGCTCTCACAGACCTGTAACGTCTTCTGTGAGAAGCTTTTCTGTCCCCCACTCGTTACCTGTATGAATGGCACCTGTTTGAACTCATCATCTGTATAAAAGACACCTGTCCACAGCCTCAAACAGTCAGACTCCAAACTCCGCCATGGCCAAGACCAAAGAGCTTTCGAAGGACACCAGGAAAAGTATTGTAGACCTGCACCAGACTGGGAAGAGTGAATCTACAATAGGCAAGCAGCTTGGTGTGAAAAAATCAACTGTGGGAGCAATCATCAGAAAATGGAAGACATACAAGACCACTGATAATCTCCCTCGATCTGGGGCTCCACGCAAGATCTCATCCCGTGGGGTCAAAATGATCATGAGAACGGTGAGCAAAGATCCCAGAACCACACGGGGGGACCTGGTGAATGACCTGCAGAGAGCTGGGACCAAAGTAACAAAGGTCACCATCAGTAACACACTACAACGGCAGGGAATCAAATCCCGCAGTGCCAGACGTGTTCCGCTGCTGAAGCCAGTGCATGTCCAGGCCCGTCTGAAGTTTGCCAGAGAGCACATGGATGATACAGCAGAGGATTGGGAGAATGTCATGTGGTCAGATGAAACCAAAGTAGAACTTTTTGGTATAAACTCAACTCGTCGTGTTTGGAGGAAGAAGAATACTGAGTTGCATCCCAAGAACACCATACCTACTGTGAAGCATGGGGGTGGAAACATCATGCTATGGGGCTGTTTTTCTGCCAAGGGGACAGGACGACTGATCCGTGTTAAGGACAGAATGAATGGGGCCATGTATCGTGAGATTTTGAGCCAAAACCTCCTTCCATCAGTGAGAACTTTGAAGATGAGACGAGGCTGGGTCTTCCAACATGACAATGATCCAAAACACACCGCCCGGGCAACAAAGGAGTGGCTCCGTAAGAAGCATTTGAAAGTCCTGAAGTGGCCTAGCCAGTCTCCAGACCTCAACCCCATAGAAAATCTGTGGCGGGAGTTGAAAGTCCGTGTTGCTCGGCGACAGCCCCAAAACATCACTGCTCTCGAGAAGATCTGCATGGAGGAATGGGCCAAAATACCAGCTACTGTGTGTGCAAACCTGGTAAAGACCTATAGTAAACGTTTGACCTCTGTTATTGCCAACAAAGGTTATGTTACAAAGTATTGAGTTGTATTTTTGTTATTGACCAAATACTTATTTTCCACCCTGATTTACGAATAAATTCTTTACAAATCCTACCATGTGGATTCATGGATTTTTTTTTTTTTTAAATTTTTTTTTCACATTCTGTCTCTCACAGTTGAAGTGTACCTCTGGTGCAAATTACTGACCTCTGTCATCATTTTAAGTGGGGGAACTTGCACAATCGGTGGCTGACTAAATACTTGTTTGCCCCACTGTATATTGAGAAGAAAATAACAGAAAACAGCAGTGGTAGTAATATAATAATAATAATAACAATAAAAAGGAGAGGAAAGAGTATTAAATATTAGAGAATTTAGTTGATATTTGCATTTAAGACAAGTTGGTATTTTATAAAGTACCAAAACCCAACAAACCAGTTTAGACTGCATTCAGAACCAAACAGGAATCCCACTGACTGAAGCCCTTTGTCTCAAATATCTGAAAAACTAAACAGGCACATCAGAGAGGCTGAAGAGGACACATGAGAGTCGATGAGGAGGAAGAGCAGCTGGCCTGGAGTTCAGAGGAAGAAAGGGGCTCTGGATGCAGGTTCCTGTTTATATCTGTGCCTTTAAGTAGAGGGGATTGTGACTTGTTGACCTAAAACAATTCCCCTCGAGCAAAGATGAAGATGAGGTCTCGTCTTTGTTTCATCTCCCATCTTCACTGACGGCCATTAAACAAGTCACTATGGTGCAAACCAAACCTGCCTTTGTTACAAGTTTCATTTAAAACTATCTCAGAGTGGACGGCAAAAGAGGCATTTTTAAAAGTTGATGAATATTTTAAGACAGCATCTCACCTGTTTAATGCTTCTTCCTGTTTCTTGATTTGGGGCATTCCTTTCATTAGAGCATCCCAAAAAAACACAGAACTAACCACAACGTTGAATGTACAACCCACTATGAGAAATTCAAAACTACCTTGTCGTCACATCGTGTCAAACTGGACTACAAATGCAAGATTGTGGAAGCTGGTTCTGTCCAAGTTTTCTGATATTGTCAGTTCAGCATGCCCTGTTATCCTCTACACACACACACATATATATATATATATATATATATATATATATATCCTGTATATAATCGTTGTTGTATATGCTTTGAAGTCTAAAATTAGTCACATTCATTGAGCAGGTTTGAAATCTTTTGGTCATTCATCCACTTCAAAGACACGTGCACGCTTATAGTACACACACGCAAACATATTGTACAGTTCAAAGCAGAGGGGTGTCCAGTCAGTCTGTCCACATTCATACAATCGTGGGAAGCCTGCAGACCAGTAAACACAATAAACACCCCCAGAGGTCGCCTTCAATCGCCTCTCCTTAGGCTCGACTCAGGTGGAGAAGCTGAGCACACCCTCCCACGGTAGCCGTGTAGAAAAGAGGATAAACAATCCATCCCCAGGACCCCAGGCGACTGGGTGGGGGCCAGCAAACATCCCCTCTCTGTGTCATGAGGGTTTCAAAGGCAGCTTGAGGCAGTTAGAAGTGGTTTTCATATCTCAAACATGTTTCTGCCCTGGTTCCTCAGTGTTTTAGGAAAGAGGTGTGTTTTTAAGGAACAATGGGGGTTGTTTAAATTTGCTGAAAAGACTGGAGCTGTAAATACAAAGAGTCTCCAGTTTCCAGAGACGTTTCTTCCTAATGCACTGAATGAAATCACTTTTTTATTAAAGCAATTAAAAATTAGAACCAGCACTACAAAGATTGTGTGGATGAGCTGCATCAGAGATGGGGTCTAGCAGACAGTTTCCTGCTACTGCTACTTGTCAACTAAAGTAACCGGGCTCCTAATTCTAAGCCTCAAAAAATTAAAGTGGTTTATTTAAAAAAAAAAAAAAAACTTTTCAGTTTTTTGGATCATGCTGTAAACAAGCCCATTTCAGTGCTGAAGTTAGACATTTTGTAGGAAGCGACTCATTTATGGAGTCAGTCTCAAATGGGCATTTGAGGGATTGCACTTTTTGAACAATTCAGCTGAATTTCGTTTATACTGAGAGATTGCTGCTTGTGAACCTCCTGTGACTTTGACGGGCTGTTTAGTATGCAGCTGACTTAAGAAAAACAAATAAAATCATAAAATAAGATAATAATAATAATAATAATAATAATAAGCATTTTTACATCACATGATACTTTATTATTTTACATCATTTATTAACATCAGTCTAACTACAATCATGTTTCCATCGATGTTGGGTGGTTTTCAATATCGCCACCTGAGGATCAGGAGGGTCTTCCAACATGCACTGCTGGATGGCCTAGCAGGGCCCTGCAGGGCAGGAATGTGGGCTACACACTCAACAAATAAACAGCTAAAATATGCACTGCATACAGTGTACACATCATACACCTGCTAAAACATCACAGTGAGCCACAGAAGACTAGGAAAGATGAAGTAAAGATGCAAAATATTTTTTAATAAAGTACAGTAGGACCTGTAGTATCTCCATGATTAGAAAAGCAGGCAATGATATGGATTAAAACACAAAAAAATGGAAGACTTTATATTCTATTAGATTTCATTGATGCAAAAATATATATAATATTTAGCAGTCAATCAAGAAAAGCACCAAAAACAGATTTCTAGCGCCTCATACTTTGATAGATCAATCCATTTAAATAATCAGTCTGCACTGACTGTGAGCATTGTAATATGTTAATATTAACAGCACTGCAATTTTTTTTAAAAAGGCATAAGAAAGTAACAACATGAGTAAAAAGCCATGAAAAACCACAGCAGATGATGGTGCACAATTCAAATACATGAATAAAATACAGCTGTACACGATGAAGGCAGCACTGGGTCCCTTGTCTCCCGTGTTAGTACAATACACTGAACAAAGAAGAAGAAAAAAACCCCAAGCACACCACCATATCAAATTCCACTTCAACTTCACGCTAAAATCTTTTCTGCCTTCTGCGGGCCCCTCACTGTTTATCTAGCCAGTCTGCAGCCGTCACAACAATTAACATCACCCAGTGCACATCGCATCTTTTCAATACATGTCCACTGAAGTCCAGTCGCTGTGCAGCTTCGTGCTCTGCTTCGACTGGGGGGCCAACGGATGACCCGCGGGGGAGATGGAGCAGGGCGTTAAAGAATCACGTGAGCCTCGGTGACAGGAGGAGGGCAAGTTTGGATAGTTGCATTGTTACAGAGGGATCATTAAGACAGCCATGACCTCTCACCCCACTTCAGTGCAACTGTATGCCATTGGAGAAAACCTTTGCACACAGATGACGTTAGAAGTGGCCAGATATGGTGCGATGTTCCAGTTTGCAGTCCTGAAATAAGACCAATCTCAGAGCCAGACAGGTCTCTGCATGCATGTCTCCTTCTATCGTTCCATCAGTACCCTCCTCCTCTCTCAACTTTACCTCAAACTTCCTTTTAGCTTTCTGACGTTGCTGCACAGTCCAATTTCGAGCACTGCGGCTGCTGGACATGAGCCAAAGCATGACAACTGCTAAACCTTTCTAGATGATGTAACATTGCATTAAAATCGTTCCCGATTTCAAAACCTTTGTGTCCCTGCACTGGATCTGCATATCATTTTAATTTATTCTAGTTTACATCTTTAAAGGGAAACTACTATGCTTTTTTTCTTCATATTCTGTCATATAATTATGCTAAAATGATGAATCTTCATATTCAGTTTTAAATGGTGCACTGTGAGACAAAAAACAGGCTTATCGCTGCTCTAAATGGCAGATATTTTTGCCTGTACAATGTCACAGGTGACAAAGCACTCTGGCACACAGCTCTCTGTGAGTGCAGAATCCCCACCCACCTGTTGTTTATGAACAGCAGCCAATCAGAAGAAAGAAATTCATCCTGAACCATGAATTAACCAAAGCTACTCAAGTAGAGACCAAGAATAAAAATATGTCGATGGAAACAAGCATAATAGGTCCCCTCTGGATAGGTTACAGGTGAAACTCAAATAGTGGAATCCTTGTATATAAAAATAAAAACATGCTGCAACATTAGAGGTAATTTATCCTCCTGTGACCTATCCAAGTACATCCTGCAAAAGGTCTTTAGCTTTAAAACATCAATCGTAATAATAATAATAATAATGATGATGTGGATTCTACATTACATTTTATGCTAAATATAACTGTAACTTTAAACCCCTTCCAATCCAAAAACAGCAGACTGATTTGTTCTATCACATTAGTGCGATTAATCTTCTGTTAAAACACAACAACTGCACCACAGAGACTAATAAAGACAGCAGCTTCCTCCCAATTACAACTCGATTCATTCAAATTACCAGACAGGTGTACTATGAAGCAAGTTCAACATAGTCAGGCTTTCTTTGTGTTGGCTGGTTCAACAAAGCCTCAAACTGTGGTTAATCCAGACTGCTGGCCTGCTTTATTCAGGAGGTCAATAAAACCAACAGTGATGTTACCAATAAGTCATAAGCTCAATGCTGAAGAAAACTGTTAATTCTGGGATTTTATATGCAAATACATCTTTAGGTTACCATGACAGCTGCAACTTTAAAGCTTTACACCTGTGCATGCAGGTCTGATGCCGTCCCATACTGTAATGAAGAGAGATCAGTGGAATCAGTTTAGTTTTTGGCCAAGCCAAAATGAGCTGAACTGATAACTGACTCTGCTGCAGACCAGGTTACGAGTTCACCATAAGTAGGTATAGAGCGCAAACAGAGCTTCCTTTGTAACACTGAAAACTGACTCTTCACTTCTTAGTACACCTGTCTGGGAAGTAAGAGGTGAGCATTGCAGTAAATAGCAGCTGAGCCTCCACCATTTCTGAGAGTGACCACCAACCACTGTACCCGAGCTATATCTTGGGGGAACAGATACTTTCCATCCTGAGAGGGGTGAGGGTGAAGCTGCCAAAAGCAGTGAGCCACACAGAGAACATTTAAAGGCACGGCGGTTATAGTGTCTAATGGAGATCACTGTGAGCCAGAGTAACTGGGTGCACCAGTGTGACACAGGTACATGCACTCTGGGTCAATCAGGATGCGTGTATGTGCTATAGTAACCAGGCATGATTGTGCGTATTACACAGGTTCTATGTAGAAGAACCAAAGCTTAGAGTCAGCTTTCAGACTCTTTAAATTATAGGATGTCCGAATAAAACAAAGATGTATAAAGTATAATATATAAATAACTCTTTATAGGCTACGACACTAAAGGTTTAAAGTGTGTAGATGGAAAAAAACAAAACAGTAAATCTTACAACTTTAAGAATTAAAAAAGTGACATTGTGGTACAAGTGGTAAAACACTGATGATTTTAGATATGTTGAGTATTTTACTGGGGAGGCACGTTCCCCCTGACGGTTTGGTAAAATCTCCAGGGCATTGTGTTGTAAACTTACAGTAGCTCCTGCCTCCTTATAAGGATAAAAACATCACAGCGAGGAGATCAGAGCACTCTCTGCTGTAGCTGTGACCATGAAGTTTGTACCTGCAGCTCGGTGTGACTCCCTACACACAGCTGTAGCTACAAACTTTACATACAGTAACTGAAAAGACTGTAAATATAGAATAAATACCATTCTTATCAATATTCTTTTTCCCCACAGCAAGCATCCCTTATTGGCTTTTGGTCTGCAACAGTCAAACCAAATTGTAAAAGAAAATAAAAACCGCAACCAATCAGAAACAGTTTGCTTACATCCCCCCTACATTGTGCTACACTCTAAAAACCTGCTTCCAGCATCAGATGTTGATGAGCAACAACATGTTCTGACAGCATGAAGAAAGGAAAACAACAGAAGTGTGGACAGTGGTCACTGTGTGAGTTACTCTAAGAGAAGACAAAAGGGTCTAGCAGCATCAGTGGTTGTGCTTGTCGCCTTCAGTGGATGGCGCCTCCTTCAGGAAGGGATTGAAGGAGGAGCGGACGGCACGGCCCCGGAGAGGCTGCTGCACACGGAAGTTGTTCACCATGCTCTTCTGCATATCCTCCTCGGCTGAGGTGAAAAGAAGGCTCCGGAAGACAGCCAACTATAGGGCAAGAGAGTCAGCGGTAGACAGCAGAGATTTATATCAAACTTCTTCAAAAGATAATATCTTTAGTTTCTGGGTAATTTCAATGAACTGGGAATCCTGAAGCTGAAATGTTGCTGTGCTGGTTTTTATTGGTGTGGGTGAAAATAAACACACCTTCACATAAACCTCAACTGTCATCGGAAACCACTACTGAAAGTTACCTTGAAAGAACAGTTGTTCCCAAAACACAACAGCACATATCCAAAGGTTGGTGTGCAACTCAACTTAAAGTTGCACCAGTGATTCGTGCCCACCATGGGGCAGCAATAACTCTCATACAGCCATTTTCCACTAGTACTTGCTCGGGTCAGCTTGACTTATCTTAGTTTTTAGGGTTTCCCATTAGGTGGTATGTACTTTTTTAGTACCTGCTCGGCTGGAATTCCAATCGATCTGAGATGATCTGAAAATGTGACATCAAGAGACTGCATGCCACCGATTGGCTAGTCAGTGGCATCATGAATCATTAGAGCATCTCACTCACAAAAATCAAAAACCTGGCAACGAGGGAAACAGCTACACAAAGAAACACTACTTTGGCAGCAGGTATGCCATTGCCTCAACGTCCTCCACTGTTGTGGTGTTAGTGTTGCATACAAATGACAGGACGTTTGGCCACAATGTTGTTATAACAACCTCAGACTCTATTGTAATGCCAAACATCCCAAACTGAGCCATGTTGAGTTGGCTGAGTAGGTACTAGTGGAAAAGGGTTAATAGTAGTCATGGATAGCACGTTAGCAACCAGTTCTACACATTTGGAACAGTGCTTATCCTCAATTTTGATCCCCACCCACTCAAACATGTGTTAATACAGTGTTCATTTACATCTCTGCCCTTATTTGTCTGTATTTGGTCTTAGGATGGACCACATCCTAAGATGTTAAACCTTTTAACATCTTAGGATTTTAACAGAGGAAGGTTTAACAGAGGAAGAAGGATTGAAAAAAAGAAAACAGACACCACCAATCACACTGCACATGAAACGTCGACCCATTGTTAACATTCTTTACTTTTTTGTGTTGTGATTCTTAAAAACATCGTTCTTACCTGCTCATGGCTGACTTCTATGTGCTGTTTCATAATCATCCAGGTAACAGACTCTGTCAGAGGAGGCGTGGTCAGAGAGCCGTGGTACGTCCAGTAGTCATCTGTGTTGGTGGGCAACAGGCAGCCGGGGTCGAACCGGTTAAACGCTACTACACTGTTCTGCAGAAGACCAAAGAAACAAATATTCAGTTAAAGCTTGTGGACTTTGCATGATTCACACTTCAAACTGATCCTTAGTTCTGCCTGAAACAAGCCGTTTTAGCTCCTCTCCCTGTGAGTCAACATTTTTCTGCGTACGTCTCAAGTTCACAGCTTCCACTCACAGCCGTGTTGATATTAGCATCCGCAAGTGTAACAGTACAAGTATATAACAGAAAATACACAACAGCAGACTGGATGCACTCTGTGGAAAATTGTAAAATATTTAAAATCATTAAATGTTGACTATAATATAAATATATTTAAAATTTGTTTGGTATGTGTTACACAACATCTGTTATTTAGCACACACTTCTTATTATATTGTTGAACCAACATTCATATCAGACCTTATTAGTGATAAGCTGTGAATTAGTAGTGATAAAAAACAAGGGGAAAATACAATCTGCAGTGAGTCACCTTCAAAAACTACAAGCAACAGTGTAAAGGAAATATAATCATATCTCAGGACAGGTCTATAATGACAGATCAACATGTTAAAATCAAGGGAAAAACTATATCACACCACCACCACCATTAGCAGCTTGAACTGTTAACACCACGCATTGTGGACCACGGATTCGTCTCATTATCACCAAATTCTGACTTGACAATCTGATGTGGGAGCAGAAATCATGATCTGTCAGGACAGTCTGTCGTCGTTTCAAGATGAAAACTGTCTAGGTGTGGTAAATGTGTGCCCAATATAGTCTTGGTTTCCTGTTCTAAGTTAATAGAGTACAGAGTGCTGATGCAACCGCCCGCTTTTGCACGCCACCCTCTACAGCTTTCCAACCACAGAACTGTAGTTTATTGAGTGTTTGTAATTTTCTGCTACACTCTCTGAACTAGACTGTTGTTCGTGGAAAAAAAAGCAGACCAGAAAAAGCATATCACCAATAATCAATAATTTCTGCACCAATAATCAATCCAAGGTTAAAAGCACTAAGCTCTTTTGCTTCCTCCCTGTTGTTTCTTGCCTGCATTCTTTTCATATAGCGAGCTGCCTACATATGCTACATTTATTAATGCACAGAGCTAGTGTAATTTACCTCATCTTCAGGTCCTTGGATGCAGTGAATACACAGCTACTGATTCAGTTTGACTTCAGTTCTTTTGACTACTTGGTGAAAAAAAAAAATGAAATTCTCTGTGTGAAAGAAAGCCTGAACCACTAGAGGGCACCACCTCCCTATAAACTGACAGGTACAGAATTGTTGGTCTGTGATGCTCTTTGTCAAAGGTAAATACACTTTCTCATTAAAGCAGAGAAAAAACACAACAGGTATACACATATGTGTGTGTGACTAACCTTGTGTCTGATTGCAGGCAGAGCGTCCACCAGTTTCTGCAGCCCCTCGTGTCTCTTTCCCACCTATGCAAAGATTAGACCATAATCTGGATTATCGTCACTCACAAATCAGCTGGACGGCTGTTACCACTCTCTCACATAAACACACTGCTGAACGCAAATCAAAAGTAACCCAAAACATATGATTTTGGTCATTGTTTAAGGACTTGAAAGACAGTGTGTGAATGTACCTTCAGAAAAACTCCAATAACCGCCAGCCCGTTATCCTCCATCACTGCCTCCTCAAACAGACTGTACTTGTCAGAGTTCCAGTGGACCAAGTGGAGCTAAAGCGGCACACAAAGCAAAGACATGAGTTTGTCTGTATGTGACCCAAACTGTAACAGCTATAATCTTTGTTTTCCTGTTAAATCCTTCCTGCCTTCTTATATTTTTATTTGACCTAGTGTAAAAATTACAGCTTTATTAATTGTATTAAAATATGACACAAAGATCCCATGAAGCTGTGACTCATAACTGCAACTTGATGCTCTGCGCGCGCACACGCACACAGTCACTGGAGTGGAGCTTCTTACATAAGTGTGCGTGAATGTAACGGAACAACATGAAAATAGATGTTCTATATACAGGACAAATGTACGAGTCTGTAAACTCAGATGCTGACAGACAAACACACACTTTGAGGTTTGAGTCCGAATTTGGCGATATAAAAAGAATTAGAGAAACACAGCTGGATGAAAGAACCACAGTTGTATGGCTTAAACAATGTAACCAGTTTTGCACAACGCTTAAACATTTGAAGAACAAACAATTCGAACAGGGTACATGAGTACATATAAAAGGACCACAAACTAAGGCAATATTTGCGCTGTTTCAACAGCACACTGTTGTTTTTTCCATTACTCCTCTCTGTTAACCTTAAGAACTAAAAACTGACTTATACTGAAGGATATTACATGTAAGATTACAAATAGTAAGCATAAAATACCTGCATGACTAATCTCAGTTTTAGCTGCAGCTATCGTGACGGGCCTGTGCAGTACTGCCAATGTCTCTGATGCATTTGCAGATACGTTTTTCACAGTTTTTCAATCAAAAAAGAAAAAAAAAATCATAATATTTATCACCTCAATGTAAGGACAAACAAATGTCAGGTAGTTGTGGGAACTATTAATGTCAGGAAACATATGAAACGGAAAAACCTGTGGGACAAATATGTTCATCACCAAAAGTTAAAAAATAAAGTAAACTGAGCAAACAAAGAATGAGGACCCAGGAGGGGAACAAAGTCCCAGGTTTAAATTTGTTTCCCCCATGGGAAGCACCACATAACAAAGAAACATGAGCACAAGATAACTGACAACATGTAAAAGTAGATTACGTCGTAGGCATGAATCTTCCAAAGTTTTATTGCAGAAGTTTAAATGAGCTGTTCCACTGTCCACCTTTTAACAAGTGTCAGAGGTACAGACCCACAGATGCTCAGACTAAGAGGACCACCGTGACGCTCAGGTGTGCAGACAACTGCTAACTCAGAGCATGACAACAGGAAAAAAAAATTAAATTTAGACCCAAGAAAAACCTGCAAGGGTTTAGTTGAAAATCGTTATTTTACTCAGGAAAAAATGTCAGAGACTTCATCTTAGTCGCATCTTTTCTTATTGGCCACATGCCACTGCGAGGAGGCTTGTTTCTCTGTTTGTGTGTGTTGTATTAGCTATTAAACATGTGGGTTGAGCTTTAGTTATAACATTCTTGTGTACTACACTGAGAGGAATGCACTGAATGAGCAGCCTAACAACCTGAAAATAAACTGTACCTCTAATGAGCAACTCCACTTGTCTCTGAAAGGATACATTTACATTTAAACTGAGTGATTGCATTTTGTTTAAAGGAACATGAATTTTACAGGTTGGTGTCAATGTAAGAGCCTTAGGAGCATCCATTGTAGTTATAAAAAGTATTTTGCCGCTTACAAATAAACCTGGTCAGCTTTTTTTTCAGATTCTGTGAGAAATCTACATCATAACTTACGACTCCCCCATGCCGTCAGAGATGGAGGCTTTGGAACCAAGGACTGATAACTCCTCTTTAGGAACAAATTTTCCAGACCTTTAAAGACAGTTTATCACCTTTATTACGAGACATGTTCATTGAGTCATTGGTTTCAAAATGTCTTCCCCTAACGCTTCGACAAGCGACCATCTCACTCCTATTGAAGCCAAATAAGGATCCATTAGAGTGTACATCATATCGTCCTATATCACTCTTAAATGTAGATTTTAAAATACTGTCAAAAACACTTGCTCTCAGGCTAGAGAAATATCTACCATTGTTAATTTCTCCAGATGAGACAGGTTTTGTGAAGGGTAGGCATGGTTTTTTCAACCTGCGCAGGTTTTTAAACATATTACACACCAAGTCAACTACAACCCCTGAAATTGCCTTATTACTCGATGCTGAGAAGGCATTTGACCGGGTGGAGTGGGATTATCTGTTTTATACTCTACATAAATTTGGATTTGGCCCTAATTTCATTTCATGGATTCAGTTACCTTACTCCTCACCTATGACACGTGTTAGAACAAATTCGTTATTCTCTTATTTCCCACTTCTCCGTGGTACGAGACAAGGTTGTCCCTTATCCCCTCTTCTTTTTGCATTATCAATTGAACCACTGGCAATTAAACTGCGAGCTGACAGTTGCATTAAGGGCATCTTCAAAGGTGACCAGGAGCACAAAATATCCTTATATGCTGACGACCTCCTGCTGTATATGTCAGAGCCTTTATGCTCTCTTCCCCGTGCTCTTGCCATTTTTGAATGTTTTGGTAATATTTCAGGTTACAAGTTGAACCTGCATAAAAGTGAACTTCTCTGTGTCAACTCTATAGCCAGAAAGATTTCATTTTCAGATTTTCAATTTAACGTTAAATCAGGGTATGTGACCTATCTGGGGGTTAAGGTTACCCACAAAGATCTTTATGAAAGAAACTTTGTCCCGCTGCTTAAAAATACTGAGACAGATCTTCAGAGATGGAACAATTTACCACTGTCATTAACTGGCCGCATCAATTCTATCAAAATGAACATACTACCCAAGTTCCTTTATTTATTTCAATGTATCCCATGCTACTTACCCAATAAGTATTTTATAACACTGAATAAGCATATCTCTGCATTTATTTGGAATGGCAAAAGTCCACGAATTCGTAAAGATTTCATGCAGAGGACTAGGCCACTGGGTGGATTAGCCTTGCCAAACTTTCAGTCTTATTATTGGGCAGCAAATATTCGTAATATGCTGTACTGGATGAGTAATGTTACTACAGAGACTCCAGCTTGGCTCCAAATTGAGTCAATCAATTGTGGCAAAGTTTGCCTATCAGCTTTGTTGAGTTCAGCTCTCCCATTAGAACTATACACCTATAAACGTAACCCTTTGTTGTATGACTCGCTCAGAATCTGGGTGCAATGTAGGAAAAGGTTGGGGTTACACTTAATGTCAATTAAAGCACCTATCTGCTCAAATCATATGTTCCCACCCTCCATGATGGATTCTGCCTTTAAAACATGGGAAAGTAATGGCCTTAGAAATATCAAAGACCTTTTTGTAGATGGGATTTTTGCCTCATTCACGCAGCTCCTGAAGCAGTTTAATGTTCCTCGGCAACATTTTTTCCGCTATTTACAAGTTCGTCACTTTGTAAAGAGTCGATTTCCTTCATTTCCGGAACTACCTGAGGAAACTTCTTTGGATAAAATTATTAATATAAACGTTCATAAGAGAGGGGCGATTAAAGAAATCTATGCTATACTATTAGATCTTCAATCTCCTTCTCTCTTCATCCTTAAAGCACAGTGGGAGAAAGACCTTGGGATGACTATAACAGATGAGCTCTGGCAATCTTTTCTCCGGAGGGTACACTCTTCTTCGATATGTGCCAGGCATGGGCTCCTTCAATTTAAGGTCCTACACCGATTACATATCTTCAAGGAAAAGTTAGCCAAGTTCTATCCAGGAGCTGACCCTCTGTGTAACAGATGTAAAGCAGAAACAGGTTTGCTCCTTCATACCTTTTGGACATGCCCCAATCTTCATAACTATTGGGTGTCTATATTTAGCACTCTGTCAGAGATGTATAACGTTAAATATGATCCTTCTGCTCTAACGGCTATCTTTGGGGTGATACCTCAAGACATCACTTTGCCAAAATGCTATTCGAATTCTATTGCCTTTGCTTCACTTATCGCAAGGCGCCTTATACTTTTAAGATGGAAGCAGGAAGTTCCTCCCACACATGAACAGTGGCTTGCAGAGCTCATGAGGTTTTTACATTTAGAAAAGATGAGATATACACTGGCAGGTTCAACCACCAAATTTCTTAAGGCATGGCAGCCATTCCTGATGTACATGGAAACATTTAAAATGACCACCTTATCATGACCAGATGCCATATCTCTATATCACTATCATAGTTAACTGTACACTGAATGTCCCTTATACATTTTATTTTTATATTTGTTTGTTGTTGTTTATTTGTTTTTTGTTGTTTTGTAGGGGTTTCTTTGGTTTGTTTGTTTTTTCCTTTTCTATTTCTGTTATCTTTTGGGGTATTGTAAATACTGAACAGCATACTACTGTATGCTCAATGTTTTTTTGTTAACATGCTGCTGTGACTGAAAATAAAATTTATAAAAAGAAAAAAAAGAAACAAATTTTCCAAAAAGCATTTCATAGTTTGATTTGTCTGATCAAACAACAGTTTTCCTCTTTGCCTCAGTCCATTTTAAATTAGATTTGTCCCAAACAAGACAAGCATTTCCAGATCATGCTCATATATGGATTCTTCTTTGCATGATAGAGCTTTAACCTGTGGATAACAAGGAATCTGAAAATTGTACATTTCCTCAGTTCAAACACATGATATATTGTTCTATTAGAGATGGCACGATACCACTTTTTTATGTCCGATACCGATATCATAAATTTGGATATCTGCCGATACCGATATGAATCCGATATACCGTATTTTCACGACCATAAGGCGCACTTAAAAGTCTTAGATTTTCTTCAAAAAGTACGGCGCGCCCTATAGCGCAGCGCGCCCTGTGTGTTGTAAGGAGGACGTAGTAGAGAACACCATGAGAACGCTAAAGGGTGAAGTGTGGGCGTTGATCGTATATACCGGACAATCGCACATACCTGCATAAAAGGACAGATATGTGCATTATGTGGAACATCGTTGTTTTAACAACCCTGAAAATGGCAAAGAGACATGCTTATGAAGCACAGTTTAAACTGAAGGCCATCAGCTATGCTGGG